ACTTGTAAAGACTCAATTCATACACAGCATCTCTGGCCACAGGAAAAATTAAGGTAGCAAGATTACTAGAAAATCCCCAGATGGTACAACATTAAGAAAAATACTTCTAAATAACTTGAAGGACTAAGACATCACAATGGAAATTATCAAATGCTTTGAATTCAGTAATTATGAAGTTGCTACTTTAAAAAAAGGTGTGATGTAGGGGTTTTTGCTTGTTGTTGATTTTTTTTTTTTTTTTGGTCTTTTACGGGGTGTGATGCAATCTATATAACCTTAAATAAGTTACAAAAAAAGAATGGCTGAAAATCAATGATATAAGTATCCAACTCAGAACTTAGAAAAGATCAGTCAGGGCGCCTGGGTGGCTCAGTGGGTTAAGCCTCTGCCTTCGGCTCAGGTCATGATCTCAGGGTCCTGGGATCGAGGCCCGCATCGGGCTCTCTGCTCAGCGGGGAGCCTGCTTTCTCCTCTCTCTATGCCTGCCTCTCTGCCTACTTGTGATCTCTCTCTCTGTTAAAAAAAAAAAAAAAAAAAAAGATTTAAAGAAAAGATCAGTCAATTAAATGCTAAAAAGGTTAAAAAGAATAAAGAGAAGAAAGTAATAATAACAGAGGTCAAACATACAAAAAAGATTCTTTAAAAGCCAAATAAGATTGATAAACCCTAGGCAAGACTGATTAAGATAAAAGAAAGAAAACAAACAAAAAATCAATGTCAGGAATGAAAAGGGAGATATCACTTCAGATCCATACCAACATTTAAGAGAGGATAGTATGCCAATAAATTTAAATTTTAGATAAAATGGATCCATTGCCAGATAAACATAACTTACTAAACTGAAACAAAAAGAAACAAGACATATCAATATTCCTGTAACTACAGAAGGAATAGAAGCTATAAACACCTTCCATAATAAAAGCATCAGGCCAACATGGCTTCCCTAATGAAATCAAAGTATCTTAAAATAGCTATCTTTCCCTCTCTCACAGCGCTTCCTATTCTCCTGACCATAAGCTGATGGTCTTGCTTCATATTTTACTTTCAATTCAGAATCTATTATAATAGAATGCCTTGATCTTCCTATCAAGGGTTGACCTATCATCTGCACCTGCCTTCTCCATCCTTCCAAGTGCTCCAGCCAAAGAGGTGGCCTCTCTGGCTATCAATGGTAAATCCCTCCTTTTCCTTTCTTGAGTTTATGCCCTTTAACCTTCTCACACACTTTAGTTTTCGTTCTTCACTGAGTCCCATCCTGGTCTTGTAGCATCAATTTCTCCCTTTCCACTACGGCATTATTCTTATCAGCACTCAAATATGCCATAAAAAGTCCCATCCAAATATAAGACAAAAGAGTTTTGTTCTTCATTCCGTACTTTCCTGTAGCTACTGCCCCATTTCTCTTTCCCTCTTCATGGTGGTGGGGGGTATCTTCTCTAAAGAGTCATCTAAACTATCTCTAATGTCTACTTTTCATTCATTCTTTTAAAAGTACATAATATTTTCCTTTTTAAAATTATTTTTATTTTCTTAAAGATTTTATTTAATTGTCAGAGAGAGAGGGAGAGAGTGCACCAGCAGAGGGAGAAGCAGCAGAAGGAGAAGCAGGCTTCCTGCTGCACAAGGAGCCCAATGTGGGACTGGATCCCAGGATCCTGGAATCATGACCTAAGCCGAAGGCAGATGCTTAAAAATATATATAATATTTCCAACACTCAGTGTTAATGAAAAGGACTGAAGATGACACAAACAAATGGAAAGGTATTCCATGCTTATGGACTACAAGAACCAGTCCTGTTAAAATGTCCATACTACCCAAAGGAATATACATATTCAATGTAATTCCTATCAAAATACCAACAACATATTGCATAGAATTAGAACAAATAATCCCAAAATGTGTATGGAACCAGAGAAGACCCCACATAGCCAAAGCAATCTTAAGAAAAAAAAAAAAAAGAATAAGGGCTCCTGGATGGCTCATTCTGTTAAGCATCCACCTCTTGATTTTGGCTCAGGTTATGATCACCAACCTCTTTCAAAAAAAAAAAAAAAAAAAAAAGAGAAAAGAACAAAGCTGGGGGTTTCAGTCTCAGATTTCATGATACATTATAATGTGGCAGTGATCAAAACAGTATAATACTGGCACAAAAAGAGACATAGATCAATGGAACAGGATAGAACAGAGAGTCCAGAAATAAACCCATATTTATATGGTCAATTAATAACAAAGGACGCAAGAATATACAATGGGGAAAAGAAGGTGTCTTAAACAAACAGTGCTGGGAAAACTGGACAGCTACATGCAAAAGAGTGATACTGGACCACTTTCTTACACCATGCAGAAAAATAAACTCAAAATGGTTTAAACACCTAGTGTGAAGAGCTCAAACCATAAAATTCCTAGAAGAGAACATTGGCAGTGATTTCTTTGACACTGGGCAAAGAAACATTTTTCTAGATATATCTCCTCAGGCAAGGAAATCAGAGGTAAAATTAAACTATTGGGATCACACAAAACTAAAAAACGTTATGCATAGTGAAGGAAATCACCAACAAAACAAGAAGACAACCTACTGAATGGGAGAAGATAATTGTAAATGATATATCTGATAAGGGCTTAATATCCAAAATAAAGAACTTAACTCAATACCCAAAAAACAAATGATTCAATTGAAAAAGGGGAGAAGGGAGGAAAAGACATTTTTCTGAAGAAATACAGAACGGCTGATGGAAACATGGTAAGATGCTCAACATCACTACACATCAGGAAAATGCAAACTAAAACCACAATGAGATATCACCTCACACCTCACACTACACACAGCCAGAAAGGCTGAAATAAAAAACACAACAAATAAAAAAATGTTGGTGAGGATGTGAAGAAAAAGGAACCCTCAAAAAAAAAAAAAAAAAAAACCGCATTCACCACTGGTGGGAATGTAAATTGAGCAGCCACTGTGGGAAACAGTAGGTAGGTTCCTCAAAAACTTTAAAACAATTATCATATGATCCAGTCATTCCACTACTGCGTACGTACCCAAATAAAACAAAAACACTAATTTGAAAAGATATATGTACCCCTATGTTTACTGTAGCATTTTTTACAATAGTCAAGCTATGGAAGCCACCCAAGTGCCAACTGACAGACAAATGGATAAAGGAGATGTGGTGTGTACATACAATGGAATATTACTTGGCCATGATAAAGAATGAAATCTTGCCATTTGCAACAACATAGATGGACCTAGAGGGTATTATGCTAAGTGAAATAAGTCAATCAGAGTTTAATACAGGAAACAAAACAATGAACGATGAAAAAAAGAGATTAAAGAGAAACCTAGACTCTCGAATACAGAGAACAAACTGGTGGTCACCAGAGGGGAGGCAGATGGGGGATGGGTGAAATAGGTGAAGGGGATTAAGAGCACATTTATCTTAATGAGCACCAAGTGATGAATAGAATTATTGAATCATTACATTGTATACCTGAAACTCACATAAAACTATGTTAATGATACTTGAATAAAAAATCTATAATATTGATACATGAAAAGAATATGCATAACACCTACTGAGTTACCAATGGCATCACAATAAAATTCTCAAGTGAACTAGAATCCATTTCTTGGATTCCATCCCTACTATCAACTTAACCCAAGTTATCATCACTGCCTAGACTATCATAACAACCTCATTACCTGGTTTAATGTCCTCAAGCTCAATTTCCACACACAGAGTTATTTCCTAAAAATCCTTGATTAAAGTCATCAATGCCTTCACACTCACTTTGAATAAAATCCAAATGGTTACCATCACCTACAAAGCTCTGAGTAGGCAGGCGGTTGTCTACTCAGTCTCCCGCTTACTTAGGCTTCAGTCATAGCAGCCTCCTTTTCATTTTGAGAACACATTTCATTCTTTTACTTTTTTTTTTTAAGATTTTATTTGACAGAGAGACACAGCAAGAGGGGGAACACAGGCAGAAGGAGTGGGAGAGGCAGAAGCAGGCTTCTTGCTGAGCAGGGAGCCTGATATGGGGCTTGATCCCAGGACCCTGGGATCATGACCTGAGCCGAAGGCAGAGGCCCAACAACTGAGCCATCCAGGTGCCCCTCATTCTTTTCTCTGTCCAGTCCTTTGCCTGGAATGCTTCTGTTTTCCTCTTCCCTTGGCTGGTTGCTTCTGAATCTTCAAGGCAGATGTCGCCCCTCAGAAGCCTTCCTTGACCATTTGGAGGAGGCACCCTCGTCCCCATCCCAGTCACTCTTTTATATCCCCCAATTTATCTCATAACTGAAGATTGTTATAACCATTATTTAGCTTCTTTTTATTTCTATACTTGTTAATTTCTCAAAATTTAATATTCATGATGGCAGGGACCTGGTCCATCTTACTCACTGCTCTAGAACTAGTACCTAACCCACTAGGCAGAATACAGATATCCAATAAATATTCATTAAATACATAAATAAATACTGTATTTTGACATTCCACTGGTTCCTTGTTTGTATTCTCAATTAGCAAAGAACCTGGAGGAGAAGAGGAGCGTGCCCCAGAATTGCAGCAGGCTTACAGGGGAAGAAAGTGAAATAATGAGTAAGTAGGTCTGGCTTAAGCGGAACCAGTGGGGACCCTTAGGAAAGCGTTTTCAGGAAAATTAATGAAGAGATGTCAGAAAATGGTTAAACAAATGAGAAAAATGTAAAGTTAGAGTTAACTTAAGAGACAGAACCGAAAGGGGTGCTTCCTGCATGTCTGAACGAAGGACTAATTACGAAGATCATGTCCTCCAGAAAGTAAAGTAGGATGGGAATCAAAAGTAGAGAGGAGCAGCAACAGGACAGGGAAAAGGAGAGAGCGAGCAAGGGAGGGAGAGACTCCCTTCTTCAGAGATCGTTTTGAGCAAGGATACTGCCCAAATTATTTCAGAGGTTCTGCTCCATCCATAACCTATGAACTTGAAAGAAATCCAGTCCTCCTGGTTCTTATGCACTCACCTGGGTAGGGGGTTCTTGCAATTTCTCTCACTACCACCCATGGTCCTTTTCCAGCCTCCAAATGAGATATCATGTCTGGTTTGGAAACTGCGAGCCCTGTTCAGAGAAAAATGAATACGACTTGACTGTGTCTATGAGTAAGAACTACTGCCAAATTTAGTCTCAGCTCTTAATCTTCAGTGCAGAGTGGTTATTATGCAAAGTTCCAGAGATGCACTGCCCAATGCAGTTGTCAAAGCCACAGGTGGCTATTTAAATTTAAATTAGTTAAAACTATATAAAATTTAAAATTCAGTTATTCCATTGGACTAGCCAGATTTCAAGTTCTCAGCAGCCCCTAGTGGCTAGTGCCTGTCATACTGGACAGCACAGACACAGAACATTCTATTGCACGGTGGTGTTACAGATGATTACAAAGGAGCCCAACACTATGATCCTAGGTTTTCTGGGATTATAGATCACGGGAATAATCTGAGTTTAGAAAGAAAATGAACACATCTGTTCCTTTCTTTCTGGAGGTACTGATAACTCCCATTTATAAAAATAATCAGAAAAAACTTCAGTCTTAAATCTGGGGAGCTGTCAACAATCTCCAAGATGCCAATGAAATATGTATTTCTTACCCTACAATGGGTGGGCCACTTAATTAAGAGCAAGGGATAGCATGATCCCAACAATATCCCCCTAATATAAGATTTTAATGCCTAAACTCTAACCCCAGGTCAGTTCAGTACTTTAGAGGCTCTGTATCTTCAGCACACCTGATCAAGTGGGTAGGTACGGGAACCGGAAGTTATTCTTACCCAGGGAGACAAGATTCCTATAATTCTCTAGCATCACATCCTTGTGTAGTTTCCTCTGTGAAGGGTCCATCAACCTCCACTCTTCTAACGTGAAGTCTATAGCCACATCTTTAAACGTCACGGGATCCTAAAATAAATACACTGTGATCACCCAGGCACTATACAGTGAGACCTGTTGGGCAGAATGATACATGTAAAACTGGAGGAATACTCCAGAAATCAGAATCACCAAATGACCACTGAAGTCAACCAGTTCAACCCTCAGAGGCTGAGGGAATCTTTCCAGCGATAAGAACTTAAAAACACAAGAGGAAGCCCATTCGATTTCCTGAGTTTGACTTGAAGCAGATTTTCCTTTCAGACTACTTAAAATCTGGCTTGCTCTAATTTTGAAATATTGGTCTTAATGTATTATCTGTAGTCAACAGCAGGGTTTCCTCCTTCCCTAGAAAGTCCTAACATCGGATAACAGCTAGTAGTTTCTACCCAAATCATCCTTTCTCCGTCAAAATCCTGACTTATCTATACTATCTGCTCTTCCTTAGTTCCAAATCTACAGAATATGACTTAAAAATACAGTTTATCATTCAGATTGTAGTTACAGAATATTGTAAGCTCTGTTTTGAGCAAGAAAAAATAAGAAATCATGGGCACTCTGGAGAACTTCTTTGGTCAGGATATGAATTACATATGTGCTTGTATTAAAAAATGAAAGAATGAGCCATAAAATTTTTTTAGTGGTTACCTGTTAGAAGAAGGGAATAGAGAGAGTGCAGAGGACTGGGATTAGAAGCTAGACTCTTTTGAATATTTCTTGTTTGTAGATCATGTAAACATATTATGAAAAAAATTAAAATTTTAGTCATCCCACAAAATTAAAAGGAAAATGAAACCAGTTTGAAGCACAGACAATATTTCATCAAAGATGAAATATTTTAAGTGACTTTAAAACAACAATTTTCTGTATATCCTTTGTGAAATACACCTCAAGAAGAAAAAGAACAGCAAAAAGCAATAACTATGTTTTCAATAAATAATCATACTGTTGGTGGTAGTGAAGAAAATGCTATTTTGTAACTGCTGTGTGCATAGTGTTTGCTAAAGCAAAGTGGTATATTGACACCACTGAGAACCAAATTTGGCATGACAGAAAGAAGACAGAATGTGATATTGGTGAGATGATGCAGTAACTCCATAGATCCAAATTTGAATTGGAAGTATCAGTATAAACTCATGGCTTATTTTAGTTTTAAGGAAGAAAATAAAATATATCTCCTAGTTTCATTCATGGAAAAGGCCTAAAAATAAAAACAATAACTAATAAGGTAACATGATGCAAGCTAGAATGTGGCCTAAGTATTACTTATCACTAAAAGGAACAAAGGCCTGGAACATTCTGTGATACCAAAGGCAAGGCAGCTATCAAAGACTACTAAGAGCATATCTAAGATTCAGGAGAAACTTGAAGAAGCTCCCACTACTTAATAATAATGGGATAGTTGGAACATCAGTGAGGATAATAAATACAATGGGTTTCAAAACCACATTTAAATTCATGATTCCAGGGGCGCCTGGGTGGCTCAGTGGGTTAAAGCCTCTGCCTTCGGCTCAGGTCATTATCCCAGAGTCCTGGGATCGAACCCTGCGTCGGGCCCTCTGCTCAGCGGGGAGCCTGCTTCCTCCTCTCTCTCTGCCTGCCTCTCTGCCTACCTGTGATCTCTGTCTGTCAAATAAATAAATAAAATCTTTTAAAAAAATTATGAAAATGGTACCTCATGAAATAGAAATTCTGTAGTTGAAAAAATATAGTAACTGAAATAAAAATTTCACTAGAGAGTTTCCCTGAAAGGAAGGAGCAAATTGAGCAGCAGTAGAGTGTGAATGTTTGCGTCTCCTTCTCCGTCCCCACTTTCATGTGTCAAAATCATAATGCCCAGTGGATGACATTAGGAAGTCTGGCCTTTGGGAGATACTTAAGTCATGAAGGTGGAATCCTCATGAATGGAAGTGATGCCTTAGTAAAGTAGCTCCAGACAGATCCCTAGCTCCTTCTGCCACGTGAGAAGACAGTGAGAAGTCTGTGACCCAGAAGACAGCCTTCATCTGAACATGCTGCCGCACTGATATCAGACATCCAGCCTATAAGCCACCCAGTCTTTTGTCTGTGAAGCCCAAACAGACTAAAATAAGCAGGCAAAGAAAAGAGAGAGAGAGAGAGAATTGGTAACTTGAACAAAGATAAAATGACATTATTTAGACTGAAAACAGAGCAAAAAAGAATGAAAAAAGTGAACAGAACTTCAGAGACTTGTGGAACAATGAGCATACCAATGTATGCATGATGGGAGTCCCTGAAGGAGAGGGGGAAAAGAGGCAGAAAAAATATTCAAATAAATAATGGTTGGGGCACCCGGATGGCTCAGTCGGTTGAGCATCTGCCTTCTGCTCAGATTGTGATCCCAGGGTCCTGGGACAGAGCCCTGCGTTGGGCTTCCTGCTCAGTGGGGAGCCTGCTTCTCCCTCTCCCTCTGCCCCCTCTCATACTCTCTCGTGGTAAAAAAAAAAAAAAAAATTCCCCAAATTTGGTGAACATTAATCTGCACATACAAGAAGTTCAAAGAACACTAAGTAGGATAAAATCAGAGACCCAAGCCTACATATTATAGTCAAACTGATGAAAAGGCAGAGAATCTTTTTTTTTTTTTTTTAAGATTTTATTTATTTATTTGACAGAGATCAGAAGTAGAAAGGGAGGCAGGCAGGGAGAGAGGGGGAAGCAGGCACATACAAGAAGCTCAATGAACACTAAGTAGGATAAAATCAGAGACCCAGGGGCACCTGGGTGGCTCAGTGGGTTAAAGCCTCTGCCTTCGGCTCAGGTCATGGTCTCAGGGTCCTGGGATGGAGCCCCGCATCAGGCTCTCTGCTCGGCGGGGAGCCTGCTTCCTCCTCTCTCACTGCCTGCCTCTCTGCCTACTTGTGATCTCTCTCTCTCTCTCTGTCAAATAAATAATTAGATGTCTTAAAAAAAAAAAATCAGAGACCCATGCCTACATATGTCATATTCAAACTAATGAAAAGATAAGGAGAGAATCTTGAAAGAAGCAAAACAGAAGAGACTCCTTATGTGCAAGGGATCTTCAGTAAAGATGTCAGTTGATTTCTAACCAGAAATCAGTGAAAGTAGAAGGCTGTGTTACAACATTCAGAATGCTGGAAGAAAAAAAGTCAACAAAGAACTCTACAGCCAGCAAAATTATCCTTCAAAAATGATATATAAAAAATGAGAGAATTCACTGCTAACACAACTGGCCTGCACTAAATTCATTTCAAGTAAAATGACACCAGACAGTAACACAAGTCCACATAAAGAAATAATAAACACCAGTAAACATAACTCTACAGACAAAAATATAAACATATTTTCATTTGTAAATTTTTCATTTCTTATTTTCTGTTATTTTTTATTTTTCAAAGATTTATTTATCTGTGGGGCACCTGGGTGGCTCAATGGGTTAAGCCTCTGTCTTTGGCTCAGGTCATGGTCTCAGGGTCCTGGGATAGAGTCCCATATCCTGCTCTCTGCTCAGCAGGGAGTCTACTTCCCCCCACCCTGCCTGCCTCTCTGCCTACTTGCAATCTCTCTCTCTCTGTCAAATAAATAAATAAAATCTTTTAAAAAATTGTTATTAGAAGCAAAGAAAGGTATTTTGTAATGATAAACTGGTTAATTTATTAGTAAGACATAAAAATTTAAACATTTATTCCCTTAAAGGAATCTCAAAAAACAAGAAACAAAATTCATAGAATTGAAGAAACAAAGACATAATCCAACAATAGACTTCAATGTCCCATTTTCAGTAACAGTACAAGGCAGAAGATCAACAAGGAAACAGACGACTTGAACAGACATCTGTAGAACACGGAGGCATCCAATTATAGCAGAACATATATTCTTCTCAAGTGTACGTAGAATATTCTACAAGACTGACCATATGTTAGGACACAAAGCAACTCTCAAAATTTTAAAAGACTGAGGGGCGCCTGGGTGGCTCAGCGGGTTAAAGCCTCTGCCTTCGGCTCAGGTCATGATCCCAGGGTCCTGGGATGGAGCCCCACATCAGGCTCTCTGCTCAGCAGGGAGCCTGCTTCCCTTCCTCTCTCTGCCTGCTTCTCTGCCTGCCTGTGATCTCTGTCAAATAAATAAATAAAATCTTTTAAAAAAAAATTTTTTTTAAAGACTGAAATCGTACAAAGTATCACTTCTGATTACAATGAAATGAAACTACAAATCAACAAGAAGAAAACTAGAAAATTCAAAATCACGTAAATTAAATAACTTTTTTTTTCTTTAAAGATTCCATTTACTTATTTGACAGAGAGAGAGAGATCACAAGTAGGCAGAGAGGCAGGCAGAGAGAGAGGGGGAAGCAGGCTCCCCACTGAGCAGAGCCCGATGCGGGGCTCAATCCCAGGACCCTGAGATCATGACCTGAGCCGAAGGCAGAGGCTCAACCCACTGAGCCACCCAGGCGCCCCAGAATTAAATAACTCTTAAAAAGCTAATGAGTCAAAGAAAAAATCACAAGGGAATTTAGAAAATACTTTGAGAAAAATGAAAATGAATTACTTTCTATCAAAACTTGTGGGAGACAGTGAAAGAAGTGCATAGTTGGAAATGTATAGCTGTGAATGCCTACATTAAAAAAAGAAAGATATCAAATCAACACTCTAAACTCTTACCTTATGGAACTAGGTACTATGCAGACCTGTACTCTAAAATGCTGATGAAAGAAACTGAAGACAAAACAAAGAAATAGAAAGATATTCCATGTTCATGGATTGTAAGAACAAACATTGTTAAAATGTCTATATTACCCAAAGCAATGTACAGATTAAACGCAACCCCTATCAAAATACCAAGAGCATTTTTAACAGAACTAGAACAAACAATTCTAAAATTTGTATGGAACCACAAAAAACCCCAAATAGCCAAAGAAATCTTGAAAAAGAAAAGTGAAACAAGGTATCACAATTCCAGACTTCAAGTTATGTTACAAAGCTGTAGTAACCAAAGCAGTATAGGACTGGCACAAATACAGACACATGGATCAACGGAACAGAATA